GTGTCTTAAGGCCACTTTTTGCCACTTTACCACTTTTTATTAACTTTCTTGTTTGTCAAATATCTTCTAGTTGTGAACATCGTAAAAAGTTGCAGATTAATCAAGGGTGTTCATATTATCAGGAAGAAAAACTTTTGTAGAGACAATTTTTACCTCAACACGGAGAAAAGTAGTTTTTAGAAAAACTTCAAAAATTTTTCACTTGCATTTTTTTTTCAAGACTTGGAAAAAATTTCGAATTTTCGACTTTTTTTTCGACAAAAGTTATCAAATTTCATGAAACGTGGAGAAAAATGCTTTTTTTTTATATTTCGTTTTCAAGAATACTAAAATCACTTACATTTGTAGTTGGAGTTCAGTAAATCTCGGCAGATTTTAGTAATCAGGAATTACTAAATCGAAATAAATAAAAGGACTGAAACTGCAAAACGTTAACCACAGGATATTAGAGTTTCATAATTAATTACAGTACATCCTTATCGATTTTTACAGAAACTCCACCAAAGGCACATTTGAGATCGAACCGATAGCCTGCTGTACTACGATAATCGCATAATATGTAATAAATAAAACCTCTCTGAGTCTGTACTGTCAATCGTGCTAATCTGAACCGTCCTACCTGGATTACCATCTACCTCTTCTTTTCCTCAATAATTAGACCGAGTTGTGCAAGAAATGTGATTTATCATAGCTCATAATAATTACATCACCCACCAAATGCTATCGCATTTGGTGGGTGTGTAAATAATATTGAGCTGTTTTCAATCACACTATCACAATAAGACACAATACGTGTACATCATATGGCCCTTAATGCGGTATATGAAACGCTCTTTATCGGGATGTTTCTATAAATCTATAGACTATACCGTACATTTCTCGTTTCTCCCGCGAAAGGCCGGTATAGAGAGCTAGAGGTTTTACTGTATCACGAAAACTTCTACTTGTCCTCATGGCTCATTGACAGCTCGAAGAAGGCAATAAAAGATCAGAAAGCCTAAAATGTCAACTCGCTCATTTTAATGCTCTTCGATCCGTCCCACATTGATCCCGAGCTGATCATCATGACCCCCAAATATTCTGCGGCAAGAACCTGTCTTTTTACTTCACAACATCCGGATTGCAAACCAACATAATTATCACCGTTTCTTTACTACCCGCGGCTCTTGCCCATGCCCGACGCTTGTATCCAGATCTTACCTTTGCCCGTATCTTACTCTTTTTGATTTTAGCCGACCCTGACATATTGGAGTGATTTGAGGTATCAGGTATCACACATAGCGACTGAAGCGGTATGCAGAACAATACAAAACAAGTCACAGTAGATGTTGGAAGTTGTATTTACACTGGCTTCCTACTTCCTAGCTCTTCCTTGGTATCCATCGTCTTTTCTTGCCTTCTTCGAGCTGTAAATGAGCCATGAGGCCAAGTGGACGTTTTCGTGATAAACTAAACCGGGTCTATCGAGGTATAAAGCGTTTCATATACCGCATTAAGGGCCATTTAAGACAAACGTATGATTGAATACAGCTCGATAAGTACTTATATCACCCACTAAATGCAATATTATGAGCTATGATAAATCACATTTCTTGCACAACTCGGTCTAATTATTGAGGAAAAGAAGAGGTAGATGGTAATCCAGGTAGGACGGTTCAGATTAGCACGATTGACAGTACAGACTCAGAGAGGTTTTATTTATTACATATTATGCCAAATAACTTATAAACCTGCATTTTTGGTTGCAGGTTTTGAACCAAATAAGCAGCTTTCTTTCTGTAAGTTAAAATAAAACCCCCCGATTTATATTAACACTGCCACAATCTATCCGGAATGGATATATTTTTTCTAAAAACTACTTTTCTCCGTGTTTTAAAGCTATTCCAATCATTTTGATCCAATAAAAAAATTTTAAATTTTTGCCAATTAGCTAATTGATATTTATCCAATTAATTGATTATCTGAGGTAAAAATTGTCTCTACAAAAGTTGTTATTCCTGATGATATGAACACCCTTGATTAATCTGCAACTTTCTACGATGTTCACAACTAAAGATATTTGACAAACAAGAAAGGTGGTAAAAAGTGGTAAAGTGGCAAAAAGTGGCCTTAAGACACGTGGAAAAGTTTGGAAAAGTTGGTCAGCCATAAAGGACATCTATTAGGACTCAAAAACGTCAAAAATCCTTTGTAAGCTTTGTGAGTCGGGAGATCGATTTTTTCAGACGGATTTTCCTGTACTATTTTGTTCATGTTTCATGCTACCCTGATTATTCTGAGCCGAAAATATATTTTTCGGTTTTTTGAAGTCCGATTTAAAGGAAAATACGCAATTTGACGCGGAGAACTGAAAAAATCGCGATTTTTCGTGAGGCCAGGATCTGAAAAATCGCGACTTGTCGCGGCAAACGTGAAAAATCACGATACTGCACATGCTGCAATTTCCTTTTGTCCTTACCCTCGAAATTCAGGCTTTGGCGTGAAGCGCCAAAAATTTAGGCTTTGGCGCAAAGCGACAAAAAATATTTAGAATTTGGCCCCCCCCCCCCCCCCCCCCCCCCCCCCCCCCCCCCCCCCCCCCCCCCCCCCCCCCCCCCCCATGAAGAAAATCATTCCTACACCCCTGCAGGCAGGAGTGATATTATCACAGACTTCGCAATTAAGATTAAGTAGGCAGGATTTTAGGTTAAGTTCGCAGTGGCAATGGGTGGAAGGGGCCTTTATTACGGTTCAGAGCTATAAATCAGTCAAGTAAAGTTAAATCATTGCTAAAAATTAATCTATCTAGTATCTATTCTGTAGTGATTTGCATTGAACGGGTCATAATATTAACACGTGATGATGCTAGCTGCGTTCTGTAATAATGATATTAATAAAACAGAAATTTAAGTTAGACGCCAGTCTGTGATAGTACAGCTGATGCTGTACTACATGAATGAACAACATTCCTCCATTGTTACAACATGACTTTTTCTCTTCGAGTGATATAGCCTTGAAACATGCATTCCAAGGCTATATCACTCGGTACCTTCATTCCTAAATTAGAATCTGTGACGAATTTCTGTCAGACGATGATATATTATTGTATTAACGTTTAAGCAGTTGACTGATTTAAATAATTTGTGTAACTTGAATATGCTCATGTCTAGCGACCAGATGATCACGAAGATAAAGATAATCCTCTTCACGACGCTATTGTGGTTATCCATCCAAGGTTATAATGTACCTACAAAATTGTAATATTGATTTTTACATCACGACCTAAGCTTATTAGAATTAACACAGAATACATAATATGTACACAAATTAAGTTGCATTCTCTGATTGCGGGTGCTAAGTAGTGAAACACGACAATTTATCGTGCTTATTATTTCAGGTGAAATTATAGGAGAAGTAGATGGTGAAATAACACCTGTTTCCGTGTCTATGACTAAAGAGGTTGACTCAAGTTATGTGGCAAGTAATGCTATAGACAGGAATACAGATACTGCAGCTTACTCCTTAGCAGATGACTCCTGGTTAAAAGCTAGGTTAGACAGGCAGTATTGTGTAGAGGTAGTACAGCATTGGGTTCATAGTAATCTTCAAACATACACATGCTCGAGGGACGCGTGTACCTGCAGTGGTTATAGTGATTACTGCATCAGATGGTCCATGTCAGTGTACTTTGAGGATGGAACAGACCCAGACAATGCTGCTTCTGATTGTATGATAGGAGACACTGTTAAATTTAAGGGGGGTTACTTAACGTATACTTTGGTATCTCAACTAGTTATCATTGGGAGAGGTAGGAGTCTATATATATATTTTTAAAGAATACCATTATGGAACAGTATATATTGATTAATTTCTTTATCATTGGCCTACTTTGTATTAAAAATAATCCATGCGATGTTATTATTACAGTATTAATTATTGTAAAGCCGTTGTAAACTTCGAATTTCGAATTTAGTGACAAATTAAAATAAAGCTTTCGTTCTTTTCAATCTCCCAATTAAAATATTTATTAGAATTTATTTGCAAATCATCATTAAGTAGTTACACAGTGTTGTTCACTTTTGATAACATTTCTGATGATTTCTTTCCAGCACCTGATTGTAGCTCGCCCATCATTGAAAAAGGCACGGTAACACCGGATTCGAAAATAAGTCATGGCGCCTCATACAACGTGGCCTGCGACAGTGGGTTCGTGATCTCTGGATCGACAACAGTCACCTGTATGAACGGAAAGCTTTCCGTATCTCCAACTTGTGTACCAGGTAAATTTTACCAAGCATATCGTGACTTTTAAAGATAGAGTGATTGCTCAGTAAAAGCAAAAGTTGTAAATAGGATCGGAAGTGTTACTAGGATCCCCTAAAACTATAATCATAAAACTCTAATTATAACGTCTGTTAATTTGATATTGTCATTAGAAATTAATTTGTACCTTCTGCCTGTTATTATTAAATATTTAGTGGCCACAGTGACATGCCACGAGAAAGAGATGACGTTGACCCTTGCAGAGAAGGGTAGTTTTGATACTATTCGGCTTAACGAAAAAGGTATTTTATTCGTTAATTTGTAAATTAAAATTATTAATTTTCCGTACATTGTGCTATTTTAACGTTTAAATGTATTCCTGTATATCTCATAGAATTATTTCAGTTACACTGTAACTCATGTTATCTACACTTCGTTGCAGATTGTGAATTCCCGGGAGAAGATCAAGAGATAAAAACGGATTTAGAGAAATGCGGAACAAAAGTGTCTTTTAATAGCACCCACGTAATATATAAAAACGAGGTCAGATACATACTATTGATATTTTCCTTTCAACACAAGTAGCTTATAAAACAGTGCGTGTGATCATCTGTCGTATCAAATCAAATTATTTTTCACTATGTTTTTAATAAATAAATCATGATATGCAAGTTTCAATTTTAAATTTTTTGGTTTAAAGAATAAACGATAAAAGTTAAATCATAATTTTCAACACTTTCAATACTTTCAACACTACTATATAACAAATAATTTGAGGTTTCTATTGTTAAGTTGTTATCATACACACCCAGATCTACGTTACTGTAGCTGTTTAAGTTTTTCTAAAAACTTACAGCTTATCTTGGGTATAGGACCTTGATTTCATTAGCAGATATGGATGACTTGAAGAAACTGGAAGATGAGCTCGACCTAATCAACGAAAATTCCTTTCAAGGTAAGAAAACAATCCACCAAGCAAAAGTTTTAACAGATATACCCACCAGCAACAACAAAGAACATATTTTCAAGGTTTGTAAAGAACTATACATCATTGCAACCAGAGCTATTGATCTAGCAAAGACCTCACTTGTCCCCCTTCCGGAACAGGACAGCCAAACTCTAGAAAACATAATTAAGAGACAATTGAGTGAAGTCCTACCTAATCTTCTGAAAGAAGCTATTTCAGTGGCTGCCATTTCCCCTGCGGAATCCCTGCAAGCTAATCTCCCAATAGAGAAGCCCCTGCCAGCAAGGCACACGGTTACTATAGCAAAGTCACCAGTGAACGAGGATGATACAGAGACTACTATCACTAACCATGAATGGACCGAAGTTTATCGTAAGGACGTGAAGAACTCTCTTAAAGGTGTCCGAGTTAAAGATGAACGGGTAAGTAATGGTACAACAGTGCTGAGTTTTACTACTGAAGATGACATGAAAGAAGCGGAAAGAGCGCTGACACAAAAATGTAAGTCAGTTAAAGTCAATTCAAAGTCAGTAGAACCAAAGAAGTTAGATCCCAAACTAACAATATCTGACATTCACCATGATTTTGACAGCAAAGAAAAGATCCTTGATGAACTACTGGAAAAGAACACAGGAATGGAGGATGCTAATGTCAAAGTAGTCTACTATGATATCAAAGAAAAATTTGCTGTCATCCAACTGCCCATAGAGGCTAGAGAAGTCATCAGAAAATGTGGTGACTATATATACCTGGGCCTACAAAGACATCGTGTGTATGACCGACTCCATGTGGTACAATGTTACCACTGCCAGCAATTTGGCCATATGGCAAAGTCACAGTACTGCAAGCTGAAAGATGCCTCTCCTACATGTTTCTACTGTGCTGGAGCACATATTTCTAAAGACTGTGAAAACAGGATAAATAATAGGACTGATCGGATAAAGTGTTCTAACTGCTTTAATAGTAAAAGTGCTACAGAGAAAAATGCTGCAAAGACGCATAAAGCTGCTGATAATCTTTGTCCATTCTTTATAAGAGAAAAAGAACGAGTCATGTCTAGAACTGCAGGATGTACGGAGCAGATAAAAAACGCCTATCGCCAGAGGGTCAAGGACCAAAAGATGAGACTAGGAAGAAGTTGAGATGTGGAACTTTCAATGTCCGATCTCTTTTAAACAAGACTGTTGGTGTTTTAGAACATTTGTGGGAAACAGACTGTGACATTTGTTTTATGCAAGAAACATTTCTTCGAGATGGCGACAAAGCAAAACTCACTGAGATAAAAGATAGTGGCTGTAGCATACTTTCTGATCCTAGGAAACACCGCAGTGGAGGTGGTATAGCAATGGTTTACAGAAGTTCGATTGAACTGAAGCCTGATACCAAAGTGACCAAGTTTAAGTCATTTCAAGTGATGGAATCACTTCTGAGTGCTGAATCAGAGTTGCTGAGACTAGTAAACATCTACCTACCCCCCTACACAAAGAAAGCAAGGTCACAGAATGTGACTTCCTAAAGGAGTTTGAAGAATACCTTAAAATACTGTGTGCAAAGCCAGGAAACCCTCTCTTGACTGGTGATTTCAATTTTCATGTTGAAAGACCCGATGAACACTATCCAAAGAAGTTTCTGGACTTGCTAGCTCAGACAACATGTTCCAATAGTCCCAACTCATGATCAGGGCGGTACCCTGGACCTAGTGATCTCTACCCAGTCTCTTGAGAAAAAGATCAGCAATTTTAACATTGTTCAGTCAAGAACTTCTCAGACCATTTTCTAGTACTCTTCGATGTTGACACTCGACTTAGTAAGAATGATAATGGCAAATTTCTGAGCTACAGAAATTTCAAATCCATAGACATTGAAATTTCTAAGGATGATCTAAGGAATTCCAACCTGTCAACTATTGATCCAATTATAACTGCTGAAGAAGCGACCTCACTGTATAACTCTGTCCTTACTCAACTCATGGATAAGCACTGTCCTGTAATAAAGAAGAAATTTCGGAAGAAACCCATGCCGTGGCTTGACTTAGACCTTAGTTTGCTACGTCAAAAGAGGAGAGCAGCCGAACGTGCATGGCGCAAAGGAAAGGGTACCAGGAAAGACTACATAGATCTCAGAGATAGATTTGTTAGTTTAGAGTTTGTGAAGAGATGTTCTTATAACAAAGAGTCGCTTCGAGCATCATCAGGAGACTCAAAGTGTTTTATTGGTTAGACGGTGCAATGATAGGCAGTAATTGTAGTGTAAAAACAGCCCCACCACTCCTATAGAGATAGATGGTTAGTCATCTTAATAAATAAATAAATGAATATAAATACAAATACAATCCATAATAGAAATAGAAACACTGCAGCGATGTGGCCCTCGCAGCTCAGTGAGAATACTAACACAAAGGCCCTTTACAAGAAGCTTAACAGACTTCTTGGTAACGAGACACAGGATCTCCCCAAACATCAAGACCCTGGAAAACTGTCAGAGGATTTCAAAGACTTCTTTGCTGAGAAAGTTAACAAAATACGGAAAGACATTGAATTGGATGCATCCAAAAATGTCCCGGAGGAAACACTTGCTCTTTCAAGTGAACCTGATTATGTTTCAACTCTTCACACGTTTTCCCCTATCAGTGCTGAAGACCTCAGAAAGTTGGTTAAAATTATGAGTAACAAGTTTTGCTGTCTGGATCCCATTCCTTCATTCCTACTGAAGAGCTGTGTGGATGAGCTAACACCTGTACTCGTGCACATCCTAAACACGTCTACTAAGACAGGATCATTTCCTTCTCAAATGAAGAAAGCCGTTATTAAGCCAACCCTTAAGAAAGAAAACGCTGATGTTGACAGTTTAAGTAACTATAGACCAGTATCGAACCTTTCTGCTATATCCAAGCTCCTGGAAAGAATTGTACTGAACCAGTTGAATGACCATCTGGACACAAACAACCTTCACTGCCCTGTCCAGTCTGGATACCGCCCACAGCACAGCTGTGAGACCCTTCTTGTCAGGATGACTGACGACATAAACAAGGAGATTCAAGCAGGTAACATCGTGGCTGTGGTACTCCTGGATCTCAGTGCAGCTTTCGACACTATTGATCACGAAATCCTCCTTGAGAAACTTTTCAAGCATTATGGTGTAACTGGGAAAGCCCTTCAATGGATGAGATCATACCTTGAGAGCAGATATTTCTGTGTAAAGATTGGCGATACTATCTCGTCTCTGCTTGAACTCCTCTTTGGAGTCCCTCAGGGATCCCTACTAGGGCCCATCTTGTTTATACTCTACATTAAAGACCTTCAGAACATTGCTGCCAAATTTGGACTAGACATCCAGCTATATGCGGATGACTCTCAGTTATACATATCTTTTCATCCAAGCTTCCCAAGCGAACTTGCAGATGTCATCAAGCATTGGATGGTTGGAAACTTTATGAAACTCAATGAGTCGAAGACAGAACTACTTGTCCTAGGCAAATCAAAAGTTCTTAAAGACTGCAAAATGGAGGTGACGGTTCAGTTCGGAAACTCAACTATCACTCCAACTGAATGTAAAGGTGACAGCTGGAAGAGTCTTGGGGTAAAGTTTGATAAGTCTCTTACCATGGAAAGACAAATTAATAGTGTCAAACAGAAATGCAGCTGGACAATGATGAATCTAAGGACGATTGGGCGCTATCTGGATGAAGGAGTGAAACTCATGATGGTAACACAGCTTGTAATATCAAAGCTCGACTACTGTAATTCTCTTTACATGAACCTACCAAAGACACGACTAAACAAGCTAAGATCAACCCTCAATGGTGCCATACGGTTCATCTACAATATCAAAGACCGATCAGAAGACCTACTTCCCTACTACAAGAGAGCACATATCCTTCCTCTTGACCAAAGGATTTTCTTTAAAGTCTGCCTGTTAACTTATAAATCTGTGCATGGGATTGCACCGGCCTACATACAGAATCTTGTAGTGATTGAAAACCCATTGACAATAGCTATAGTACAAGATCAAAAGTAGAAGGAGATTGTTACAGACTAAAGACTCCTAAAACTACAAATAGTAAGATTGATCAACGTCGATTCACCAACTACGCACCAACTGCTTGGAACTCACTTCCCTGGGAGATACGATCACTACGCAACGTAGACAGTTTCAAAGGTACCCTTAAACATTATTTATATGACCGTATGTGATTAGTGCTGTTTTTTCTTTGTTCTTATGATTTGTTGGAGGGTGTATCTTTATTTATTAGTGCAAAGTGTATTAATATATTAATAATCCTTCCTATGATTCCTTTAAGTATATTGTGTTACTTTTGAAGTGTTTAATATTACTATATGATATATTTAAAGTTTTAATTTTTCCTAAATTGATTTGTTTTTGAGATGATTTAGTTGTTTGTTGCTGGATATTTTCACCTCACCCTTTAGAACCGCTCTGACATGGTTAGTACCTGGCACTTGTGTCAGTTGCTAACCATATGGGCGGTATACAAGCACATTATTTCATTTCATTTCAACCCTCATTTTCACTTATATTAAATAAAATTATATTGTTATGTATCATGTGATTTTGTAAACATTGGCCGGTGTACCAAAAACCGGTCCCCAAACAAACATTCATGTATAGTGCCGAGAAAACTCTGACGAAGCCTAATAAATAGGGTTTTTCAAATTGATCGGTGGTAAGTGGATTAATTGATGGTTTTGTACCACAAATGTGACATAAAATGGCTCACTTTTTCTCCCTCCTCGGTCTCTCCCTCCCATTACTGCATATGTAGCGTTGGTACATGGATCATAATTAGGTTAGCCGCAAGATATATCGAAAAAAACCAGTCCTGACTCCCGTAACTCTTACCGTTTTCTTGATTAAGCTGCTCGGAAATTATATGCGCACAGACAGACACAAATTCTGAGATTATTACTTAAGATGTAATAATTTCATTGGGTTAAAAGACGGGTGTTACAGAAATAGTTTGATCCTTCAAGCATGTTTCTCTAAATAATTCATTAGCAATTTGTGGTTTTATTATTCATTTAATTTTCAGATGACTGGCATTACAAAGACAATTGATCCCACTAATGGTATTACTAGAGAATTCAAAATAACATTTGAGTGTTCTTATAGTAGAACAGGTCAGATTATTAAGATTTTCACAGTTCCGAATATTCTTTATTATCTTTATTAAGGTAGATATGTACTCATATCCCCAGTTAATGCGATGTGACAGTTCACATTTCTTGCACGAACTGACCAGCACGTATATCGAGAAACCTCGTATAGAGAGTAAAGATACGTACCTCAATTATAAATATCTCCGGGATTTCGACGCGGGATCATATTATCACTCAGCCCGGCCCGCTGTTAGATAAACATCTCAAGGTGATATCATCCCGCCCCGGAAATTTGTATAAACCCGGCCCGCTTTTTAGTCGTAACTGATGTTTATCATTCAATTCTCCGACTTACAATAATCAATGATACTGCTGATTAGAACTCGATAATAGTAGAACAGTTAGACGCGCGATCACGTGGGCGCGTCACGTGCGTACCACGTGCCACCAATAGCATACGCCGAGTCTATACCACGTGACACGAAAGCGCACCACGTGATATGAAACATCGTAACCGTCCACTTCTTTTACACGCAAATTCCTGGGAACGTTGCCAAAGCAGCTAATTCTTGGAATTTCTCCAACGCGTGGCGTGAGAAGTTGGCGACTAGCCAGCTACCCTTGTCCGTGCCCTAAAAATAGTATTGTTTTGCTTGCTCTCCTTCCAGCTCTTGTTCCTGCTAACGTTCAAGCTATTGCTCCACTATGACAGATCGGTTTGACATTCAGATTGATGAACTGCTTTCCAATCGTGTATCACTCTCTTCTAAAGTATAAATCCCTTGTCGAAATCGCCGGAGATAATTATAATCCATAAACACTTCACGCTCAGGGCTAAATAAATGTAATCCCTCAGCTGGCGCTTCGGGATTACATATTAACACAAAACTCGTGCGCTGCGCGCACTCGTATGTGTTTATCAGATCATCCCGCTAGCGCGGGATGATCTGTTATATAAACCCTTTGCGTGGCGGGTTTATGTTATTATAAACAATTCCACCCTCCTGCAGGAGCGACGGAGTATGCATCTTATCAGGTTAAAGGAACTACTGTTGTGAATGCTGGCTCACTTCGGTTTGTCCTAGACCTCTATAAGGATGAAACTTTTGCGGAAAAAGTAGAAAACTTCCCCTTTGAATTGTATCTAAATGAAGACATTTACATGCAGGTCTTGGATCAATCTTTAGTTTTTAATAAATTCTTAACCCCGCGTTGGATGTTATATCGATAATTATTCGTATGTTAAAAGATTATTATTTAGCTTAGGATATGCCATCAAATAGAACTTCACTGAAGGTGTTGGGTATGTAATTCAATTTTGATCGTTAAGCACGAAAACAACTGTACTACTAGTACTATGACTGCGACCAATTGTTTGATAACTGATAAGAGCTATTATATTTATCAATCAAGAGTAAATAACTTGTTATGAAATAATGTATATTACCAGGTAACACTGGATGCGCTGGACCCAGATCTTTCTATAGGGGTGTTGAACTTACAAGCCAGAGACAGTGAATCTGAGGACGAGGGGAATTTGTCGTACGACATAGTCAAAGAAGGGTAAGTTGATCAATTATATTTTATAGATATAATAGATACTGACGTGAAAGTGAACCAAATTTTTTTTGACACCGATAGTGATTCCTGGTTTTGATTTGTCAACGCTGAAATCTGATCCGTTAATCGTATCAGAAAGAATATTTTCACCTTCCCACAAGAGTCCATATCTTAAGACTTAAATCCTCCTCAAAGTTTAGAATATTTGATTTTACAAGATCATTCCTGTAATAATATATTACGTCACTTAATGAGTCAATATGCACTATCAGTATTCAAATTTATTCGTCAAACTCGCTTAATAGATTATTGAACTAATATCACACATTAGTTTCACAATTAACGCCAATAAATTTGGTTCACAATGAATTTGGTTCACAATAAATTTGGTTACAAACATTTAATTTTGGTTACCATAACTTTAGTCACAAATTTCGCAAATTTCCAGTCTACACCACTTTTTGTCACATTTTTGACTTTTCAAGACCATTTTCCATTCCATTTATTTGATTTTTCCATTATTGAGCTAGTTTTATTTTTCGAATTCGCACATAAAGTCATACTTTAAAGTTTATAATCAGGTATGTTGACGATTTGTTTCAATTTGTCTTATGGGAAAAGGAGGTAAGACTAAGAGAACGTGAAAGCATAAAAGCAGTGGATTACACGTGTAATATAGTTCAGCAGTATGAACGGTGATGTCATTATATTAATAGTAATGTCATATATTAGGCTCTACTGAAATTTTGGTCTGCTTTTAAATTAATCGCCGAAAAATTTAGTCTTAATAAATTTGGTTAACAAACATTTTATTCAAAATGTTGACTAAATTTATGGTAGACTAAATTTGATTCGACAAAAATGATTCTTAAAAATACCTTAATGCAGTAAAGTGTACCCTTGAAAAAGATTTTCCCAACATCTATTGCATGCAGCTATATCTCTAATTTCGTTCAATTCATGCAAGTTGTTCATTTGCAAATTTCTACTACTTAAATCACTTCTTAAAACCGATAACAACTTCATTCTATGTCTCCCCAATCTACCAATGAATAAATTATCTGATTCAATAGCAAAAGAGAGAGCCGTTTGGGCTGGGGTGTTCTCCATACTCCTGAGACTGTGTCCAAACATCTTCCACCGCTGGTGTTCAATACGCTTGGATAACCTTTCAACTTTGCACCTTTCATATAATGCTTTGTTGCTTATCATACCTTTAGGCCATTTGATGTTTAAAATGGACCTAAGGTGTCTACGATGGAGTGTGTCCATTTTGTCCATGGTTGCTTTCTTAGGACTCCAACTATTTGAGTTGTAAATCAATACAGATACAACTTGAGCATCATATAACCTCAGCTTTCTTTCAAGGGAAATTTTCTTACCGGACAACCATACTTTTCCAAAGTTCTTAAAAGCAATCTCAACTAGGATTCTCCTTCTTTGAATGTCCTTCTCAGTACAGAGTAAGGAACCTTGTGACTTGTTACTTCGCCATGGTTCGTTATTAGCTAATGGCTGACCGTTTGTGTCTTTATCAGATATTTTCGCCAGGTAAAAGGTACTGAATTCAGTTTTACTTTCATTTACTTGGAGGTTCCAGTCTTTGAGAATCTCCTTCACTGTAGGAAGTAAAATTCTCAGTTTCTCGATGTCCTCGTCAGCAAAGTCACAATCGTCTGAATATTCCCACTCAGTTGGAAAACCTAGTTCTGATACTGGTGGGTTTGGTCAGATACAGCTCTGAGGTGGTGTAAGGCTGCTGCAAGAATAAGTGTGAATAGCTTTCCAGATAAACTGTCACCTTGAAAGGCTCCGATTAAACTTTCAAACTCTTCCGATAGTGAGGAGTTAACACGAACTCTAAGGAGAGTATTCGATAGAAGGTATTGAACTGAGCGAATGTCGTCCTCCGAACAACCAGCATCCTTCAAAACATTGATGATAGTGCCCCTTTTCACGGTATCAAAAGCTCTACTCATGTCAATACCCATTTTGCTAAATGTCCATTTCTTCCTCATCACAACAGATATGAGCATTCTCTGAGCCCACACAATGTCAGAGCAGCTCCTACCTCTCTTGTAAGCACTCTGCCATGGCATGGTGTAGTTGTCAATTCTACTCTCAACCCGCTTTAAGGCAATTTGAGTGAGCATCTTCCTCGATCCGTTTAACAGTGTAAGTGGTCTAATAAGGCTTGTGAGGGGACCTTTAGGTTTACAGGGCTTCTGTAGAGGAGTCACAATACCTTGTCCTATTGAACTTATGTATTTGTTCCCACTAAATGACTCGTTATTTGCCTCAGCATACTTCTCAAAAGTGATTGGATGGGCGTACTTTATCAACTCATTCTGGGGATTATCTGGACCACTGGCACGGTTTGATTTGAGTTTACTTGCAGCAAGTTTAACTTCAACTGGTGTAATGGGGTTATCAAGTGGTTTTGGATCCCAGGAAAAAGGTTGCAGGCCAGCTTCAACTCCTTCTGTTAGTTGTTTTTCGAAGAAAGATTTCGCTGTGTTTGCTTTCCCTAAATCAGTACCAATAGGGTTGTTGTTGATATCATTGACCACTATGTTACCCGACTTTTTTATTCCAGCTAAAGACCTTGAAGCTTCAAACATCTTTCTAGCATCGTCAGTGTTATTTATTTCTTCTGCTAGAGCGTCAGCCTTCATGTTATTTATTTGCACAAGTCTCTTAGAAATGCTATTCTGAATCTTTCTAACTTCTCTCCTATATCCACTAACATCACTACCACTTGGGGCTGATTTGATCTTTAGAGTCTGATCACGCTTTTTAGCAACTAATGAAGCTACTGTTAGATCACTGGAGAAATTTTGTTTAGAGGATTTCCCTTTCAGTGGTATAGTTTCTTCAGCACACGCACGTATGTCACTAAAAAGTTCATTCATTTTCTCATTTGGGTCATCTGGATAAGTTTTACCCGATAACCTTTCAGCAATCGCACTTTGATATTTCTGTCTGAGTTCTTTATCCCTGTAGAGAGTTGAACAGTCAAACTGAGTGCTATCTGATTTTTTGGTTTTGTGAATGAGAACATGATTTTTCAGCGTTAATCGAGTTACAACAGGTTTGTGATCAGATCGTAACTCAGAGCCTCCGTATGATCTGCTGTCCTTTATTAAAACCGTAGACCTCCTCCTGCAAAGCACATAGTCAAGTTGAGCGTATATAGGAGTATTTCTATTAGTCCTGTGTTCACCAGTCCAAGTTAGTTTGTGCCTACTTGGATGATCAAACAAAGTATTGCATGCTGTTAGGTCTTCTTTAACCATAAATTCAAGCAAATGCTCCCCATTTTCATTTCTAGTCCCAATACCATGTCTACCTATCAAACCTTCCAGACCTAATTGTTCATCAACCCTAGTTCGTTTACCCAGCTTTGAGTTAAAATCTCCGCAGTGGAACATTTCCCATTTTGATGAAGGATCAACGGAACCATGAGTGCTGTCAGGGTTAATGGGGAAATGTCTGATTGGTTCTCTGTCAATTCAGGCACTGGACAGGGTGATATCCAGGGCCCTCCTGTATTTAATTTTTGTCTGAACTTTGGAATCTTTTTGGCTGAGGTTCACAAGGCAATCAGTCATGGTGCTGTACTGCAAAAGGAACTAAAGGGTGCAGATGAAAAAGTATATCATGGATAGTGACTACGCTGATGATCTGGCAGTGATGGACAATACTGAAGAAGGGCTGCAAGAGTCCACTGATCTTATAGCTTATTACACCTCTTATGCTGGGTTAAAGATCAACGCTAAAAAGACACAATGCATGGCGATCAGCAAGTGTGCGTCCCAGCGACCTTACACCGAAAGAGACAGTATAAAGCTAACAGTGGAGGGAGAACCTGTTGAACAGGTCAGCAACTTTGTTTATCTTGGTGCCAACATCAGTGGGGATGGTACCATTGACCGAGATCTTGACATCAGGATCCAGCGTGCTAATGGTGCGTTCCATCAGCTTTGGAAGATTATCCGAAGATATGGAACAGTCGAACTATAAGAACGCCCACCAAGATCCGTATCTACAAGGCTGCTGTTATTACCATTCTGTTATATGGAGCTGGAGTCTGGAACACAACAAAGAAGCAGATGAAACGGTTTGAGGTCTTCCATCTGACCTCCCTGAGAAGAATCTTGAAGAAAAAGTGGTTCTTCCATGTCTCCAATGAAGAAGTTCTCAGGCGTGCTGGAATTAAGTCTATCGAAACTTTCATCGGTGCAGCTAGACTAAGGTGGTACGGACATGTTGTCAGAATGCCAGAGACACGGTTTCCCAATTTCTTACTGGATTGGAAACCAAACTATGGAAAGAGACTGAGAGGACGACCCCGCAAAGGCTGGATGGCCTGTGTACTCGAGGATGCGGCTGAATTTACAGGTGTCGATAACATCAGCAGAGACGCAGTAAAACAGTTAGCTCTAAAGCGAGTGGAATGGAGGAACATGTTACGCCGTAGAAGAGATGTGTGTGATGCAGGCCACTCCAACGACTAGGAGGAGACCTCTTCATGTAGCATGTATGTATGATGAAGTAGATGATACATTGTGTAAATCTCTATAGAACTGAGACAGTTTGTCAGGGTGTTGTTGAGCACGAAGAGATGTGAGACCATAACTGTTGATGATTCTGAAATTCTTATTACTACCACCCTTGAGAGGAAAACAAAAATCAATTTACCCAACTCTATCAGAGATCTGTTTGAAAGTTGTGATGGAAGGTTGCAGGTTAGGGCTAATAACAAATCCAATACCCCCATGACATTGTTCTTTCTGATTAAAAATTAACAGTCTGTAGTTGTTGTGAAGTATGATATCCACCTGATTAGTGCACTTAGTTTCTTGTAGTCCCACAATGTCCATACCGTACCTTTTGCAGTCATTACTCAGTAACTCCCTCTTCAAAAGTCGTTCAGACCGAGTTTTATCATTAACCGCAGTGTCTGGACTACCCAAGCCCCTAACATTCCAAGAACAAACAGCGAAAACAAATAGCACAGCACACAGTGTTGATCCCATCTTTATTTTGGGCGTAGACTCTCCAGCTATAGCTGTATGCGGGTCGTCACTCCTACATTCTACCTAAAATATACTAATTATAATATACCTTGATTTACTGCAAATTTGGGGCAAGGATACATCCGCGGTAAATCGGGGTACACGGTAAATTGGCGTTATGTTTCTCTACATTATGCATGTTAAGCCCTATTTTGGGAAAAGGAAATGGCAGCGGTAAATCGGGGTTGCGTTAAATTGGGACGCAGTAGATCGGGGTTTTGCTGTATCTCAAGTCTCAACAACTATAATATTATAATTCACCTCAGTTGTATTAAGGACTCGACCTTCGACTTTATCGACACTGACTCCAACTCTCAACCTCTCTCCAACCCCAAAGTAAAAAGATTTACTTTTAAATCTTTCAACTTTATGGATGCCCAAACTGAAATTTATGTCCACGCAGTTGTAAAAGTCTGCAGTGTCTCGGATAGCAGGTAATTTGTCCTAATATCTGTTTTGGGCTTCCTACAATAACATTAACATTGTATAGGTTGAGTGCATAATTTAGGAAATTTGTGAACATTCAATAACTTTCTGTTAGAATTTGAATAATAAAACAATTAATGGCTGACCTTTCCGACTTACTTTTATTCCTTAATTGCGTAATAAAACCCGTATCCATCACCTTAATGGATTACCAGTAAGTAAGTAATAGTACTAATTTAAATTAAGGATCGAGCTCCAAAGTATAATATATTATATTATAGTTCCTCATCGATTATCCTATTAAGTTTAACATTTTATACTACACCGCTTCTAATCATTTCCTAATTCTTTCAGTTTTGGCTGCACAGATCTGTGCTCAGATGGCAGACGGAAGAGGCACGTAAACGGAAAAAGTGAACTAAATGACGAACGGTTCCATATCTACCAGGGACCAATGGTAGCCGGGGGCCCCTTTGAAACCAGAGGTGAAATAGAAATTGCAAACCCTTTGACTCCAGCAGAATTTGCGAGCAGGATTTAACTAATTGTCAAAAATGCCTACATAATTCATACCTCAGGGATCGGCCTTGAGCTGCGTGAGGCCAATGTAATAACATTTACAATTATTTATAACATCCAATAGAATTTTGTGTCTCACAAAAGGATTCAGAGCTTAAACGTATATTTTTCAGTTGAAACGGGTTTGGGAGTTAAAGCGAAACTGGGATCCGGAATTTGGACTGTACTTCTTCTGCTGCACTTCTTTTAAAAAAGAAGTTAAATTGCGGTTAGTTTTGAACTAACACTATAGCTATAGATAGCTTATAGTTATTCTCGACATGAGAAATGACCTATTATATATTTATTTCTTTTTAGCTAATTAGATTAGTATAATTATGAAGACACTCTGATTCGAATATTTTGAACTTTTGAGCATTATTGAAATTATACTTCGCAAATTATGAAATTTAAAATTGTATGAAACACATGATGGTGTTCTTGACAAAATATTTTCTGTAACTAAGTAGATTTTACTAGTTTTTTTACTTTTATCATATTACTGGTTATACTAATTAACTGAACATGAAGATTGAACTGCTCATTGAGCTTATGTTCAGTTAGCTGATACAATACAATAATACCTTCGCTTCTTCGGGCTACGCGGGACAATTTCCGACAGCTTGCTGGAGGGAATTCGCGGCCCGAAGAAGCGAAGATATTATTATTATCGTCATAACTATCGGTGGCTCCTGTAAGATGTGTAATGTGATACGTATCAATCCTTTTTAATTCTGATATGTTTGGTGGCCTTATTATGGACATTAAATATTGTAATTCTGGGGGGGGGGGGGTTCACCCTGATTTTTTTTGTGAAACTTGGTTTCGAGATAGCAGTTGACCAACAAACTAGGACCGGTGACCGAACTTTTGAGGGGGTCCCGGACCCCAACCGCCAAACGGGGCCCGCGGGGTAGCCACGCCCATATTTGGTCCAAATTAGGCCCAATTTATCCAAATACCCTAAACATGCCCAAAACCCAGATTTTAGGTGCTTTGCTTGTAGCTAGTGGTCCCTTGAACTCGTATATGAATTTTCATCAAGATTGGACAAAAAATTACTGAGTTATGAGCCAAAAACCATATGACCATATTTGGGCATACGCACCAAATTTTATCGATTTTGGCCCATAAATTGGTCAAATATCAATATTTTTGAATGAAACCAACTTTATATAGAAGGTAAGCCTATACTACACATTATCTATGAAATTCTGAATTTCGCATTGCAAATTTTGGAATTTGGCCGCCAAATTTTTTAAAGGCCTAACTCAAAATTCTGTCCCAAAACTTAAGGTCGAAATGCGATTCTACGTTGATTCTGAAAATTTCATGTAAAAATATTGAAACCCTATTGAGTTCTATTGTTTTGAGCGAAGTCAGTTTTGCAAATATCGCGAACTGAGATATGGGCAATTTTGTTCATTTTTTGCAATTATCTGAACACAGAATCCACAGTTAGGAAGATTATACTGAGCTGATAATCATAGATAATGTGTAGTATAGGCTAACTTTCCATATAAAGTTGGTTTCATTCAAAAATATTGATATTTGACCAATTTATGGGCCAAAATCGATCAAATATGGTGCGTATGCCCAAATATGGTCATATGGTTTTTGGCGCATAACTCAGTCATTTTTTGTCCAATCTTGATGAAAATTCATTTGCGAGTTCAGGGGACCACTAGCTACAAGTAGAGCACCTAAAATCTGGGTTTTGGGTATGTTTAGGGTATTTGGCTAAATTGGGCCTAATTTGGATCAAATATGGGCGTGGCTACCCCGCGGGCCCCGTTTGGCGGTTGGGGTCCGGGACCCCCTCAAAAGTTCGGTCACCGGTCCCCCCCCCC